TGGCTCGCTTGAACTGGTCTTGCTCTTCCTGCTTGCAGGTCTTGTCCTGGATCCACCCGGAGTCTCAGGCCACCATCGTACGCTGTAGCCAGCCGCTAGTTGGGCCGTCAGACCGTCGCTGTAAAGAAGACGAACGCTTTCTCCAAATCATCATGGACGCCAACGCTCAGTCCCACAAGCTCACCATCTTTGATGCCCGACAGAGCAGCGTGGCCATCACCAACAAGGTGCAACACAGAGCGTTTTAACCACGCTGCTATGGAGACATGCTTCTTCATCACTGCTCACCCGTACATCACTTATTAACACGGAAATCTCTCTTTTTCTTTTGGACTCCTCCACCCTGGCCTCCGCTGCCTCCATCACATGCAGGGAAAGGATGGAGGGTATGAAAGTGAGAGTTTCTACCCCAACGTAGAGCTAAACTTCCTGGAAATCCCAAACATTCATGTGATGAGGGAGTCTCTCAGGAAGATGAAGGATGTCGTTTATCCTACCATAGACGAAGCTCACTGGCACTCCTTTATCGACCAGACGCACTGGCTGGAGTACATACGGGTAAACTACACAAACGCACGCCACATAAAAGAAGGAACAAGCTGTTTCCTTATGCAAAGAATAGATCTTAACCACACGGCCCTGCTGTGTTCAGCTGTTATTAGCAGGAGCAGCAAAGGTAGCTGATAAGCTGGAGTCTGGGAAGACGTCGGTGGTGGTTCACTGCAGCGACGGCTGGGACAGGACAGCCCAGCTTACCTCTCTGGCCATGCTGATGCTGGACAGTTACTATCGCACACTGAGAGGCTTCCAGGTTACACACACCAAGTACACACTCCAGACCTCATCTTTGCATGTAGTAACGTACTAAACATATATATGCTTGTGTTTGCAGGTTTTAGTGGAGAAGGAGTGGATTAGTTTTGGACACAAGTTTGCTGCTGTAAGAGTCTGCTACATATAATATTTGTTGCTTTGCTTTATATCCCTATTTTTTACATAACAACATAACAATCTGGCATCAACATGCAGTCATTTACATAGTTACCTGGAATGAAGTACATTCACGAGCCTTTGCTTTTCATGTACACGCTCCAGTGTCGCTGCATATGTAAACAAGTTAGAGGTGCAGTGATGCAGTGATGCATTTGCTTCACATGCAGAGATTCCGAGTCCAGGAGGAGAAATACTTACGAGAAGATCTGTCATAAAAATCTGCACCATATTAAATATGCATGCCTTGTTATTAAGGAAGCAGCCAGAAGAAGCTTTTAGTTGTATATGAGAAAGCAAATGATACGACTCAACATCAGGCATTCTTTACCTCACCAGCTCCACAGTTAGAAGTCTGTCAGATAGTTTGCAAAATTAATTAATAATACTAATTAATAATTTGAAAATAGGGCAGGAAACTGAACGGCAAATGCAGAGCAAAGGAAAAATT